GGTTTTGCAATTGGTCGATAGGCGGTTTTGCAAAAACATCGACGATATGTCAAAACGCTGTCTGTTCGTCCGTCCATCCATCTGTGTATATGGTAATTCGATTAACAATTGACAATCCCCCGAGGAAGCCTTGCCACATATTTAACTGCCACCCACTTGTGACTAAATACATAAGTTTGTGTCTCTCGGTAACCGATTTATCGATTTATGCCAAACTCGGTACATATACAATAGGCGAAAGTATACACCTTGCACTAATATAATATTCACAATTATTTGCTTGCAAAATTTTTTGCCTTATTTATTTATGAAAATATAGTTATTCTATAACATAAACCATATAAATCAAAGTTTCACACTTTATATGAAGTTCAAAAAAATTCAAAAAAAATCCATCCAAATTTTCCGCATTTTATTTACAATTTCTAGAATTTACAGAAACGAGTACGCAGTTTTTTAGTCTAATGAAGTGCAAGTCTCAACCGGCTATAAAATCGCGTTAATTTTTGAGAATTTTTTTTTACGATACTGCTTTTGCGCTTTTTTTTTTATATAACAAGGGCAATTTACAAAAACTGGCGTTGATTTTTTGAAAGCTCGTTGCTAACGGTCTACCGCATTTTATTTCATAAGAAATGCATGCTTATATGGAAAAAAGTGTGAAAACTCGTTTCCGAAAAAAAATCTCAATAATCCATTTCGATTATGCAAAGTTTATTTTTTTTCAAAGCGTAGCTTGTTGTCTGACAAAAACCAATTCAAATTTCAAACTTTGTACAAAAACAGCAAAATTAGACAAAGTTTCATAATTNTCAAACTAGCACTTTGTTATACTAGACTGCATACCAAAAGAAAATTCTAAAAATCTGACAAAAAAGTTGAAAAGTTTGATCGACATTTGTTAAAATTCGTAAAATTTTTACAAATCTTCTATAAAGTTTGATATTTCGATTTAAATATTTTTTGAGATAGTTAACTATATTTTCATAAAAAAATAATAAACATTTTTTAATCAAAGAAAAGTACTCAAAATTTGCTTAACTCTCTTTTCCCTGTTTACATTCTCGCCACCGCATGTACATGCAAATATTTTAAATTTGATCCTCTTTTAACGAAATCATAATAACTTTTAACACTCAGTTTCTTTACAGTTGCAACGTCCTTGCACCGATCGCTTAGCAAAAGCGGAAAAACGAGTCTGATTTCCAGTGGCGGCAACCAAAAACAAAATATTCTACAAACAATTGTACCAACTACACACAATAAAGCACTGCGACCAACAGAGAAGAAGTTGTAATAACTGAAGAACAAACTCACTTCGCAAAAATGTTTTTGGCAATAAATCAACTCAATGGGCAGGCAGCCAAAAGGCGCAAAAAGGAGTGTATACGGCGGGCAGGTGGTGTTGCTGTCGACGAGGAGACGCTGGCCAAACGTAGCAGTGTAACAATGCCGCTAGGCGAAATGCAAGCAGAAACGGAAGCGATAGCAGCGCCACAAGCGGATGTGTCAGCAACAACAACGCCACCAATTGATGCGTCCGGCACGTCGCTGGCAAGCTCGACTGCCAGCTCCACGGTCAATCTAATTGATGATATGTTGCTGGAAACTGCAACCGACAGCAGGACAATAACAGCCGCTGCGAATGCGACCAAAAAAGCAACAACGCTGACAGCCGCGAAATTGCAATCGACGGCGAAATGTAAAAATTGCCAGCATGCGCTTTCGAATAGCCAATGCCGACGGCAACAAAGTGAACCGCAACAGAGGGGAAAGGCAAAAGTGCCTGCGCTTGCCACGTTCACCGGCTGTCGCTGTGACTGCGATTGTATAAATAAAGGTTCGCTTTCTTCAGCAGAAACCCATCCGCCTACAGTTACACCTTCACTCAACCCGCCTACGCGTTCACCTACAGCGTCTACGGCAGCAACGCCGCCCACTTCATTGTATGCGGTCTATATGTGCCTTGGCACACTCGCACTAGCCGTGGCCACGCTTTCGGTGCTCTTCTACTCGCATGTGCACTCTACCAGCACGAATGGGGAAGTAACTAAAAGTAGCCGAATGCCAATAACTGTGACGCCGCCGCCGCCGTCGCCGCCGCCGCCAGATGCGAATTTCGTATTCCGAGAACAATTTCAACGTGAACTGCTCGCATCGGAGCATGTGTTGCGCGGCATTGTGATGCAAGTGTTGCAACAGCAAGAGGGTCAACAAAAAAAACAAGCAACACGGGAGTACAATGGAGCCTTTGGAGGCGCTGAGCCAATTTCCAACTACCAACAACGGTAAGTGAACTGGAACCACCATTAACTGAATGAAGGTACACACAATTCATATGGCGAGGCGAGTTCACATTCTGTAGGCGATGATTAATTGCATTTACAAAATTCAACAGTGCTCCACACAGGGACACGTACCGTCCGTGTGGTGTGCTTGGGAGTTAGGTAGTCTGGCTGCTTGATGAAGTGGCGCCGTGTCGTGGTGGCCCACGTATTGGTATTTGTGAAGGTTGATGTATCAAATTGGAATGTAATTTGATTATAACCAGGTGGCGTGTCATTGCTAACTTTGGAATTTGAATGGAGGGCGTAATAGACATTAGGAAGCTATCAATGTAGTGGGTGGAAGAGGAAAAATCGATGGGCGGAAAAATTGTTGTTGCACCTAAATAGTATTTACCAAAGAGCGAAGTTTTATATGCTTGATTTAAAATGCTTATGTAATATTCAAAGCCAGAAAAGTTCAAAGGAGATAAAAAAATAAATTGATCAGATTTGCCCAGTATCCACACAAATTATAGAAATAGGAAAAGCGCGTAATTAAAAGAGTTTGCTAAATATTTATGCCGTGTTGGAATTGAAAGCAGTGTTGTCGTATCAAAAATATTTTCCTGCCCTAAATTATACCAGAACTTCAAGATCACTGGGACCGTACTGAACAAGATCGATTTTCAAAGAAAAATTTCCACATTTTGAAATTCTACTTCAAGAAAAGCAAGGGTAAAAAATACTTACAGGGAAATTCTGACTAAATCTTTTTTAAGACAAATGAAATACAGATGACAAGACAGTTCGAAAGGCTTTTGTTAGTCTTTCGCAAAAGTCTTAGAAAAAAAGCACTGCCAATTTGTTTCTTTTTATACCCGAGCGCACTTGTGCACAAGGGTATATTAATTTTGTTCACATAACGGTTGTTTGTAACAGCCAANAAATCGGACAATAACCACGCCCACATCCCATATAACGGTAATTTAGAGAAATACAAAATCTTCGATAAATCAGTAAATATTGAAGCTAATTTATTCAAAATTGATGCTTGCAACAATTCTTTACCAAGAAATACGTTTATGGTAAAATTTTGGAAAATGGTCGTGGTACCGCCCACTTATGATCACATATATGTATATCGGTAACCGTTCTACCAGTTTGTACCAAACTCGGTATGGTTATTGTGCTGGCCACATAAAAGCAAACGGTTGAAAATTGTCGAAATCCAACTAAAATTACGGCCGCTTTTCATATAAAGGTAAATTTCAGAACTGCTTGAAACTGCAATATTTCGAAATTTAAGGACGCTAAGTTACTCAAAATTGATACACCCTGGCTTACCATCTAGCGGTAGCTTTCGGAAAGGTGAAAAAACATATATTAAATACTTGCGCCGGGTATTTAATGTTCGGCTCCGCCGAACTTAGTCTTTCTTACTTGTTTTAATTGTTTCTTTTCCTTTTTTTAAATAAAATTGGTTTTAATCTAATTTAATTTTCTTCATTTATTAATTTTTACTGTTAAAAATATATATATTTTTTTGATTAAACAAAAGGTATTATTAAAAAGCAAACGGCATAACGTTAAGTCCTCGTTGCCGGAGTTGAGATTTGTCTTACGAAACACTTTTGTCTTTCGAAAGATAGTGTTGAGTTGAAAGATGGTTGCCAGAATTGCCCTGTTAGTTTTCTTATGTATGTCACAACGAGCCGTTCATGAGTTGTTTGATAAAACGGGGAAAAAAGTGGATCTCATTCGCTCATAAAATTTTGGTGCAAGAAAGAAGAAGCTTCGTGAACGGAGGTACCACTAAGATTAAGTATCATCCCTATTCTACATAATCCGGAAGGTCTTCAATCAGCGGATTGAGGGTAAATCCTTTAAATAAAAACTTTTCGAGAAAAGGTTTCTGCATTTTGAATTAATTTGAATCAGCTTTCATACCAGAAGTCAGTGAATATAGTTTCGAATATAGATTTTTTGATCTTGGCTCAAGAATGCTGCACGCTTTTTCTCAGTGAAAATGTTTTAAACACTTTGTTCATCTGAATCCCACTCAATGTTGCTCGCAATAGTTGAAATGAACTTTAATATATAAATTGTATGGTTTTCGGCTTAAAATAGTTCATTATTAATACAGAATGCATTCGGAACGTAGAACTTTTTGTTCTCCCAAATTGGTAAATGAAATTTATCTCAAAATGTGGATCAGTAACACCGCGTTCACGTTGAAACTCTGAATGATACCGAATTTGAAAAATGTTGAAAGAAGCAATTTGAGTCCAACTATTTATACCTTTTCGAAAGCTTTAAAATTCAAACAACCAAAGATATGCGGATTTTCGCAAATTGTTGAAAATTCATACACAGTTTTACGGAAATAAAAAGAGTAGTGTCTTGGTTTACACAACTAACGAAACGAAAATCAAATTTTCTTAAATTTTTCCGCAGGCATTTCGGGGTGGTGGTGTTCGAACCTCACACATTACGATAATAATGCCAAAACCTCCAGCGAACTGAGTGAGTTTCCATAGCAATTTGAAAATCCACTTAATTAATTCAAGAACATATTGCTGGCGCAAATAGTCAATAAAATGCAAATAAGCTTACGCTGTTGCCAAAAATTTGTTCAACGCCGCCAAAAACAGCGTCAAAATGCAAGTTAGCGAAAACGATAGACAAATTGATGGCAGTCCTCACGCGCTTGTATTTAGTTATATCCAAGTGTGAGCTGCTTGTGAAGCGTAGCTGTACTTTTACAATCGGCTGATGACGTTCACATTGACGTACAAGTTGACGTACATATGTATCTAGCCACCCAAGGCCGTCTGCGAAGACGAATTAACCTTGAACCTGTAACACGCAAAGGGCAACACGTAAAATACAACGTGCAGTAATATCTTACTAAATACTTATGTAATACAGTTTATGGAGCAATGAGTCAGCGAATATAAAAAAAAAAACAACTGTTAATAGTGTAGGAAAACAGCAAAATGCTTAGTAGTACAGGAGAGAGACGGCAGAGAGCAGGAATCATACATACATATGTATGTTAAGGCAAGGGCATATGGGAATTGTAAGTTTGATTTATTCATTATTCGCGCTTGTTACACCCAACTACAACTAATTTGATATTCAAAAGAGGTACTCAAGCACGTCAACTTGCATAGTTGGGTACATATACACAAACAAGCGCAAGCAGTTAAAAAGTTTTCGTTTTAAGCGGATTCCCTTTTACAAAGTTCGACCGATAACTCTTCATATAAGGGATGTTACGAATATTTGCATTCGTATTTGCTTATGCAATATAAATTAATTAGAAAAAAACCTTTATTGAACTTTTCATTTTTATTGAACTTTTCATTTTATTTTATAATTAAAATGTTTGTGTTGAGAACGTAAACAAAAAATCGCACTCAAGTTTTTACTTTTCAAATTTGTTCTGCTGTCTTCTAAAATGCGATTTATCAATCTATTTCAGACGTGTAGGAATTTATAATTTGTTTATAACTTTAACATAAATATGTACCTCACTGGAGCTCGTTGCTCCAATCGCGAAATCTC